ATAATTAAAATAAAATATATAAATAATTACAATAAAACACATAATTTTCTCTAAATACTTATTATAACAAATATCATAAGAATACATAGTTCTCTAATAAAAATATTCATAATTATTAAAAATTTCTAAAATATTCTATAAGACCCATTTAATTAATTAAAATAATTATAAGAAAATAATTCTAATAAATATAAAAATAAATAATAATTAAATTATTATATTAATAAAAAAATTTGGAGTGTTACAATCATAATAAGGACTAAGAATAATATTTTTCAAATTTTAGAAGAAAAAAATTTGGTTTACAAGAACCAAAATTAAGCTTATTCATTTATAAAATTAAAACTATATTTAATTTCAGAATTTTGTTACACGTTTCTTTTGCAAATCGACAATTAATGCCTTTATGATTTATTTATTTATTTATTTCGTGCAGTGATTTAAAACCCGGATCGAATCGGCCGGTTGGACCGAGAATCGGTGGTCCAACCGATCCAAATCTTAAGTTGGATCGATTATGCAGTCGACCCGTTTCAAACCGGATTGAACCGGTCAATTTTCTGGTTCAATCGGTGAACCAGTGGGTCAAACCGGTTCAACCACTTTTTTTTTCTTTTTTTTTTAAAAAAAAATTTAAGGGACCATAAACCACAAAAATAATAATGAAAATTGAATCTCTTAATGGAAGAACAAAGAGTCTTACTAAATATAACAATGACTACTTATTCTAATGTATTTGTTTGTAATATATACAACTTAAATAAATTTTATAGTATATTATTAATTTTAAATTATATATTTAATAATATAATATCTATGTAGATATTACATATATTATTTTGTGATATCAATTGCAAACATATTATATATGTACATATTATTTATATTTTTAATTTGTATTAATTTACAATTTAACATGTAATTTTTTATGTATTTTTTTATAAAATAAAAATAAAAATAATTTTAAATAAGATAGAAAAATTAAAATTTTAAATAAGATGAATTTATTAAAATTTATAAATATAAAATATATTTAATATGAATATTGTTTTAATAAAAATAAATAAAAATTGAGTCATGCAGTTCAACTAGTAATTTACCGGTTCAACCTTTGACTCATTGACCCAGTACCTTAATCGATTTGATGACCCGACCGGTTTTTAAAACTATGATTTCGTGACTTTATTTATATTGCATCAAAATCGTTCAACGGTCCTGACCCTCCTGTTGTATATAAACGACCTTGGCCTTGTTTTTAAACGTTCTTTCCCTCGTTCTAAAGTACGTTA